ATATTATGTATGTTATATATAAAAATTATACAATTTTGATATATTTTTTCGGTTACCGAATGTAAATAGTTTCTGGCGGCGGCTAAAAGTAATAATATCCCGATTAGGATATATGAAGCCCAAATTAAAGACTCTGCTTTAATTTAAGCGGTAATGTGAGCGATTATTTATCTTAATTATTCTTATTATTTTGGCATCTTGTGGATGCTCCAATATTTCAGTTATTTTAGTTTGCTTTGTTATTGCTCCGCTCAAATTATCTTAAGTTTATTTAGTTAGACTAATATTTCCTTGGATAAGATTTACTTAGATGAATATTTGTTTGCGTAAAAATATTCATATTAAATATATAATGGGTTTAGGAGTTTAATTTTAACATAAAGGAATACCACTAATTTACTACTCCCTCCGTTTCATATTAAATGAGGTAGTTTGATTTGACACGGAGTTTAAGAAGAAGAAAAAAGACTTTAGGAACTTGTGGTCTTAAAAGCTTAAGGGGTAAAAAGTTTGTGGGGCCATGACATTTGTGTGGCTATAAAAGTTTCTCATTAGGGGTAAATGTGTAAAAATAAAAGAGTTTAAAGTTGAATTGTTTCCAAATTAAGAAATGTGTTATTTATTTTGAAACAGAATAAAAAGGAAAATACCTCATTCAATATGAAACGGAGGGAGTATTATATTTGTGTAGGATTTTCATTATATAAGAGGTGTAAGTGTATACACAAAAGATCGCTGAATCAGAAAATAAAGGGTGTCAATCAGTAGTGATTCAATTATGTTCACACTGAATATAAAGCTCTGGCTCGGATAAGATATTGACACCGAATATAAATTTGTGGCCACATAAGAAGCATTAAGTCAAGATATGACCGTTGCAGAAACATTAGAGAAGTCCCCAAAATTCTTCTCATCTTTATTAGGCTTTATTATCTCTTAATGAATTACTACCTTTTTATTGTAGCATTAATATTAATAATCAATTGATAGATCATACACCCCATAACCCCAGTATAGATAGACTTACATTCTATTATAAGACATCAAGAAATACTAATATATAGAAAAGAGTAGTATTCTCTCTCTCAAGCTTTATACAAGTGTTGTCGAGAGTCTCCATTTATTCTTGATCCCGATGGGAGCATTCTAAAGCCGGGGCTTGTTTTTTCTTTAATTGTTCTTATTTTGATCGCTTTATTCTTTATTATTTTATTTTGACGGATTAATTTAATCTACGTGTTTATAAATCGCATTACAAACTCAAATATACCCTTTTTCTGGTAAACAGTAAGCATATAACTTTAAGATTCCGAAGAAGTATATGTAATTAGTTAAGTTATATTACAGGGGTATTTAGAGTAATATATAATTTAATCTAAAATATTGACAGGTTACAAATTCTACTATTTCATAGAAAGAAAAGGAAAGAGCAAAAGAGACTTGGTCACACAACAGCTAATATAGCCAAAATAGGTTCTTGTTTAAGTGTCAGTTACTGGGGTGTTGTGCGGGTTGGTATATTCGATTGAAATGTGAACACTGAATAGAAGAAAGGGCAGGCAACATGCATGTGAAGTCCTAATTAAGGACTATCTAACTTATCAGTCCGGTTGCTACAAGAAGTTTATTCCTTAGATTTATATCATTGATCAATTATTGACCTATCTTAAGATTTTTAATTTCCGTTTGTTTATAACCCGTTTGTCCAAGCTGCAAAAATCAACTTATTTTGAGAAGTGTTTTATTTCAAAAATGCTTTTCTCAAAAGTACTTTTGGTGAGAAGCAGTTTCTGTTTGGCTAATTAGCTTGAAAAACACTTTTGAGCAGCAATTAGTGTTTGGCCAAGCTTTAAAAAACTACTTCTAATAGCTCGTTTGGCCAAGCTGCAAAATCGGCTTATTTTGAGAAGTGCTTTTTTTCAAAAGTGATTTTTTCAAAAGTACTTTTGGTGAGAAGCAGTTTGTGTTTGACTAATTAATTTGAAAAACACTTCTGAGTAGCAATTAGTGTTTGGCCAAGCTTTAAAAAACTGCTTCTAAGTGTATTTTTCTCAAAAGTGCTTCTCACTGCTTCTCAAAAACTGCTTCTGCTTCTCCTCAAAAACACTTTTTTTCTTTCCAAAAGCTTGGCCAAACACCTCAAATTTTTGCCAAAAGTGCTTTTGAAAAAAAAAAAACACTTTTGGCCAAAAAAAAGCTTGGTCAAACAGGCTATAAGTATATTTTTCTCAAAAAAGTGCTTTTGGAGAGAAACTATTTTTTTCTGCTTCTCCAAAACTGCTTCTGCTTCTCCTCAAAATCACTTTTTTTCCTTCCAAAAGCTTGGCCAAATACCTCAATTTTTGGCCAAAAGTGCTTTTGACAAAAAAGAAGCACTTTTGGCCAAAAAGAAGCTTGGCCAAGCAGGTTATTAGTGTGCTCCTTATCTTATACTTCATCTCTTCCATTACGCTTATTTGAAAGTGGTTGACTAATCACAAAACGTTTCAGATTTTTTTTTAATGTAAATAAAGTATATAGTAAGTACCAAAATTATTTTTAATATGATGGTAATAAGAGCTTTGTCTTTTTCATTTTTTTCTTTTCTTATAAAAAGAATGGGTTTATATTAAGTTGTCTCAACAAGCCATGTCATTAAGGTAAAATGGAAATGCTAAGATTAAAGAATATTTCAAAAGTGAAAATTGTTACTATATTGTTTTAGAGAAATATTAAAAAAATGGGACCAAAAGAGTATTAAATTAATCGTAAATACGGAAACGACTACTTTTCTTTCGGTTGTCCTTTTCAATTTACCAATTCAATAGACCAAAATAACGACAAATAGACAAGTTATCGTGGACCTTTTTCAAAAGGTCACAAATGTACCAAGTAAAAATGTCAAAGGTTAATTTCACGGGTATATAAAAAGCAAAGATATTATTCAGGTAAATAACAGAGGCAATGAAGAAATCGATTTACACGTCTTCACTGGATCTTCAGTTGATGGCTGCCTATCAGTAGAGTAAAGAAATTTAAACATTAATTATTGGATATACGTTATAATTGGGNAATTAATCAGAAACACGTCTTCAGTTGTCCACTCTAATCACATATAAGAGCGGAAATTTAAGACTGCAAGTTAGTCAGATACAGTTAAGGTAAAGAAATCAAATTGAAAAAACAAAGAGAGAGATATCGAATGGTACTTATAATTGCAAAGAAAATGGTGAGAACTCCATCTATTGACAAAAATGGAATGAAGAAAGGTGCATGGAGTGAAGAAGAAGACAACAAACTAAGAGCTTTTGTTGAAAAACATGGCCATTCGAATTGGTTGCAATTGCCTAAATATGCTGGTTAGAATATGGAGCCCCAAACTTTTTTGATTGTTTTTATTTCTTATTTCTTAAGTATCTTTTATAGGAAGAGAAGGTTCTTATTTTATTTTGGATATTTTTCAGGTCAAATGAGATGTGGAAAGAGCTGCAGACTGAGATGGATGAATTACTTGAGACCTGGTTTGAAAAAAGGGAATTATAGCCATGAAGAAGAGGAACTAATTATTAAATTACACAATGAACTCGGAAACAGGTAATTCTACACCAATATATATAGTACACGACATTATTAACTAAACTAAGTTGTAGTATTACTTTTTGAAGGATCGATATTCCTAACGTATCAAATCATGCACAGATGGTCAGTCATTGCAGAACAATTACCAGGAAGATCGGACAATGTTGGAGTCGAAGGGTTTGAGCCAGAAGGGTTTGAGGCAGACAATTTGATTTGAGACTGTGAGGAGTGTGTTTGGTATTTGGACGGGTTTGATTATTTGGGCCTAATTGGGTTTGATAATTTGGGCCTAATTGTGGTCTATACAATTAGGCCTGGTCACCCGGCCCACTTATGGGTCTGCCATGTCCAGAAAATAGTGTACAACACATGCTACACTATATTTTAGGTATTTTTCCCATACCCTTTGTATTTAATTATTTGCTCCATCTTTGTATTTCTTTTATGTGCAACTTTATCCTAGCAAATAGGACATTGCCACTTGGCAATATAGGATGTTGCCCTAAAACATTTCTTCTGTATATAAGTTTGGGATTGTACACTTGATAACATACATTTTTCCATTCATCAAATATACAAAGCAGAAATTTACAGTTCGTTTCTTTCAGACAACGATATAAAAAACCAGTGGCATGCTCATCTTAAGAAACACGCAAATACAAATGCCAATTCATCAACGTCAACAGAGCAATTTACTGAATTGTCACAATCCGTAGAATGTCAAAATGAGCAATCTTCTTATAAAGTTTCAGGACAGGAAACTGGCTGTGACGTGAAAGAGGTGCCATCTGCTAGTGTAAATGCCGTTGACACTTCTGTAGAGGTTTCACCAACTGATTTATATTCGAATTGTTCCCTTTTAAATGGAATGGACTGGATTGAAGAAGATTACAACAGGTCAATGGAACAACTTTCGATTTTCACTTCAGTGGAACCACTTAGTTGGACAAAACCCATTGACAATTTTCGGACAGAACCCTTTGACCAATGTTGGACCGATAATTTCTGGACAGAACCTTTCTTTTAGTAATTCTTTTATACCTCAACCTTCAAAAAGATTTTGATACATTAATTTTACAATATTTTTTGAGAGAACGGCGGTAAGAACCTTTGCTGAATGGCATATGAGAGCTTTTAATTTTAAATTCTTAAAAATTTACAACTTTCACCAGATTATTCAGGTTTTTTGTGTATTTTAAGATTTTGCATGCAATTGATATTCGTTATTATACCACGTTTGTACTACAGAAATAAAATTAAATGCTCAATTCGTCGCCTTGGTTCGTAATTACTTTTCTTCATTGACATGTGAGGCGGAGCTAGTGTGTAGGTTCCGGGTTCGGCTGAACCTAATAATTTTGATTCAAACTTTATATTTATTTTAAGAAATTCATTGAATATGTTTAATTTATTACTAATTTATAACTCAATAACTTAAAAAGACTAGAATACCGACATAAGCTTCAAATTCTCACTCTGGCTTTGGCTGGAAGGAAATATCAACCATTATCCTTCAAAATTTAAACCAATTTCTCCAATGGCTTTGAAGTAATGTTAGAAATATATTGAATGTTTTAGATTTACCCCATAGCTGTTGCCATTTGCAACACAACACCATTAGTTTTCGAGGTTCCAAATGCACTATATAAGATAACTACTGTATTATATTAAAAAATTAATTATTTATTCTAATATATTTATGTACATTATGCACTCATAGGACTTAAGACTGAGATAATTGTCAGGGCATTGTTAAATTATTTCCAGCACATGCTAAAATTGTTTCTATCTCAGATGGAGCTGCATCATTAGTCTCTTTGTCTATAAACTTTACTACCAACCTTCGCTCAAATGGTCCACTCCGATTGCTAATCTTAGCTGTATTAAATAAATGATATTTTTCCATTTTAATTTATGTGACAACATTACTATTTGGAGATGTCAACGAGGTTCTTCTTTGACTATAGTTTTCTTAAGTATTTTGAAATTATTAAATAGTACTATGAGTATAGTTTATATAGTTTCTAGATATGCCAATTTTATTTAGATAACTTTAAAAATTTATATTTGAATTTAGATTAAAGAAAAAAAACTTACGACCTTTAAGTACTTTACGCTTATACTCTAACCTTAGTACATAAAGTAAAACGGCAGAATACTAGTATTTAGGTAATTGGACTCTCATACCTCTAACTAATACTCCCTCCGTCTCATAATACATGTCGTGATTATTAAAAATAGTCGTCTCAAATTATTTGTCATTGTAGAAGTTCAAGACAAAATTGATTATATTTTTTCTTTTTTACTCTTAATAATTAATTATCTTAGAAGAAAACAAACATATTACTTATGGATAATTTTATTCAACTAAACCAAGAACTCTACCTTATAATCTTAAACACTTTAATTCAGAATACTTTGAACAACAGAATAGTCGTTCGTTTATGAAAAGGAATCGGACGAAGTCGATCACAATCAAGTTCAATTCTTTTACGGCCACAATTTTTCGTCTGTCTATGTGATACATATCAGCATGTGTGCCATTTCCTTGTTTTGCAAATGCGTTAAACAGTCAGCACTGAAACTGAAAATTGTGATGCTACCATTTGCATTAATCCTTTTTTCAATTTTCCATCAACACTTTTTTAAAGTAGAATTCCATATAATGCTCGTCGTTCATCATTATTTAAATTTTTATGCCTTGATGGTCCTGACAATTCTTCATTTGTATTGCCATCATCCAAATTTTCATCTGTTTACATTTAAAAAAGAAAATAAGAATATAGTCATACAAAAAATGAAATATAGCATCAGAACTCAATTACTTGCAGTAATTGTTTTGAGAACTTCCTCTTATGACGCAAGAATTTAGTGAAGCATTCTTTTTTTATAGGAAATTTTAAGTGGGGAATGCTAAATTTTCAAATGGGACTAAAGTAACTTTCAAGTTGAATTTTTTGGCTCCACAATAGTTTTAGTTGGAAAATTTTCAAAACACATTTGAAATTTTGTTTGAAGGAAAGATGAATGCTATTTATCCGTTGGAAGAGTTTGCATTACTAGTTTGTTAATTTTATCCTAGGTGTCTCTACATGTATTCTATAAAGCAAATCAAATGCATTCACATTTAGTAAAAATATGGATAATGCCATTGATTTAGATGACATATAAATTGAGAAAATATTTAATAAGGGTAAAGTAGTCAAAAACTATTCTTTCTTAAGGGGTACGCACAAAAGAATCATGACACATATTATGAGGAGGGAGTAGCATATTTGGTCAAGATGCAAAAATCAGCTTATTTTGAAAAGTACTGTTTTTCCAAAGTGTTTTTTTCAAAAGTACTGTTGGTGAAAAACAATTTGTGTTTGGCTAATTTATTTGAAAAGTACTTCTGAGCAATAGCAATTTGTGTTTGGCCAAACTTTTAAAAATTGCTTCTAAGCGTATTTTTCTCAAAAGTGCTTTTCAAAAAAAGTGCTTTTGGAGAGAAGCTACTTTTTTTCTCCTTCTCCAACACTGCTTCTGCTTCTCCATGATTTTAAAAATGTTTCTAAGTGTATTTTTCTGAAATGTGCTTTTTTAAAAAGTGCTTTCGGAGAGAAACTACATTTTTCTGTTTCTCCAAAACTACTTCTGTTTCTACTCAAAAATACTTTTTTTTCCCTCTAAAAGCTTAGCCAAACACTTCAACTTTAAAAAAAGAATAATTTTTTTTTTGAAAAAAGTACTTTGGCTTGGAGAAACTTGGCCAAACAGACTATAAATCTAATCGTGGTCATGCCTCTCCCAGATCCATCCCTCCTTGAAAAAGAAAGACAAAAGAGTCCGAGTTATAAGCATGACAAGTGGTCTATGAAAATTCATAATATAGTCAATTGTACGTGGCTACATGTTATTTTTTCCTCACTTGTAAATGTTGATATCCAATTTTGTCCTCATATTTTCTCAAATAGTATATATACTTTTAAAATATTATTTTTGCATCATTATTTAGTTTACAAATCTATACAAGTATTTTTTATGATTTTTCATAATTTTTAGAGCCTTTAAATTGGTTTTCCTACATTTAAATAATTATTAATTACTCCTTCAAATTATTTTTTGTGATGACTTAATTACCTAAAATTATTATTTGCACCTGTAATATATGTTTCAAATATTTTACTTCATTTCATATAATTACATTAGCATTTTTTTAAAAGCTATTTGCACAATTTTACAGTAATTGCCTATAGTCATATAGAAATGCTCTTTATTTATGATATTTGTGTCAAAATAGCATTTTATATTTTTATAATATTAAGTTATCATTTTAAGCATTTCAGTGTATAAATAATATTTTTACTTAATTCTCAAGCATTTTTATGAATTGTTTTTGTGTATTTAAATAATAGCCTAGCTTTAAACTAATTTTTGGACCAAATTGGCCCAATATCCTTGGACCAAATTGGCCCAATGTCCTTAGCCCAATAGACCCCAAGCCCAAACCAGGAGACCCTTGTATAATACCCGGTCGGTACCCATTTTTTATGACCCGCCCCATTCGTTTTTGAATCCAAGCCATTTATCTCTCAAGATCAACGACCCTCGTTCACTCTCCTGCTTTAATTAACCAAACCCGCCCAAACCCTATCATTTTCTCTTAACCCGCCGCCCCTAAATCCTCTCTACTCTCTTTTCTTTTCTGAGAAACCCTAGCCGATATCTCTCTCAACCTCTCCAAATCCGGTTCTAAAATGGAATCAATCATTGATTCACTTACCTTATTGATCTCCTCTCACTATTGATCGTCCATTCGTGGTGTTACTTAGGTGCTTGCCTAAATTTTTCAAGTGAGATCTTCTGAGATCGGATTAAAGTGGCTTGAACCTTTGATTTTGAGCATTATTTCGTCTATATACACTCAGTACCATGCTATGTGAGTCCGATTCAGTGAGATCTCTGTCGATTTGAGTTCTCCCTCTTGAACTAGGGTTTACCCAATCTCTCTTCTAAATTAATTCTAAATCGATTTTGCATGCTTTCTTTCCTTATTATAGGTTTGATTTATTTCGTTTCCTTGTTTGTTAGTCCAATTTTACTACTATATAAACCTCTCCCATTCCCGTTTGAGACATATCTTAATCGTTATATTTTTACTAAAAAATGGAGCTTTATTATGTTATTCCCTCATTCTCTTGTTCTGTACTTTGTTTTTGGCCGGCTGAAAGCCAAGGCCACTGAGATTCTATTATTCAACTTTCTCTTGGTGCAAGCATTTCCCGGAGTTCCTTTGAAGCTCTTGGGAACTTTGACGCATTAAGATTCTAGGTTCTTGTGGAATTTTGTTCTTTATTGTTATCCGTTTAACTGGTAAGTCATTTGACCTTTGCAATTTCGTTCTTATGTGTTTATGATTAGCACATTCCTACTTCTAAAATTCATGGCTTAATGTGTTTCTGGCTACTCTTGTGTGCAACTCTGTTAGCTTTACAGTCGTTTTAAGTCTCTTTAGCATTTAATTTCACCTAATGTTGCTAGTTCTGAAACATGCTTATGCCTAATATGAATAATTTAGATTCTCTTAAGTACGTTTAGCTAATGTGTTATGAGC